CAGGTTTTCTTTCTATACACGCTCCTTCGGACGCTACCGTCAGGTCTACGACCTAGGAGGACGTCCAGGAAAGGGAGCGAACCTGCTGTTTCTATCTCCAACGTGAACTCTATGGATGGATGTACTTGATTGGCCGCGTTTAAGACGATATGCTAAGAACCAGCTGGAAAGCACTCGCCTAAAGATTGGAGAACTAGAGCGTCACATATGCCAACGGGCTGTAGAGTAGATGACTAAATGCACATGGAAGTGGTCTGAGCTGCTAGCCTATCCTTACCTTCCCCGTGCAAGATTGGGTTGGTTGAGAATAATACCCGAACTCTCGCTGCCGTTCCCATATAAATGTATTGGCACGACGAGAATTTATTGAAGCCATATATACGCTCGCCAAACTAGTCTTCTGAATTATTTGATGGAAATCTTCACAACTCTAAAATAATCAAAATCTTGACTTCATCAGAGCATATTGGATCAGGAATCAGAGTGCGAGTTGGAAGCTGTGCAAGTCCACGGCTGCATCAACCGCATAGAGCGGTGGAGAGCAGTCAAATCTACACACAACATTTATTAACGTATAAAAGATGACGGGTAGACGATAGCATAAGATAACAGCGAGGTATATTATTACACAACATTCGGGAGAAAGCCTCGGGCACTTTATCAACAACCAGAATCGCCGATCCTATCGCAACGCTGGCGGCATGTGTTGTACCGCTTACAGTTGCTATTGAGCCCGGTTAACCGCTGTGTAAAACTCACACATTCATTGAGTTCTTTTCTTGCACACCTTGTCGATAAAAAATCATCGAGTCGACCATAAGGAAGCCTTTCAAATTGTCTAAAGGAAAACATCCATGTTCTCCATGGACCTACGATAACAGGTTAAGGAAGTAGCCGAGGCAGTGGCTATAAGGCTAGCCGATCCATTGTTGTGCTGTCAGAAGACGCCAATACAGGCACTCTCTCTTCCATGGCCGGGGCCAGGGCTCGATTTTACATAGCCCCACCCCTTGATGGTACTGTTTACTCCGTGCAAGTGATAGTCATTTTCACTTCGCATACTCAACCAACGACCAATAATCACAGCCTATCTATGTCTCCCCCTCCTCCAGTTCAATGATCTCTACATGCCGATCTCGTCATGCGGGCGGTGTGAAAACGACGAGTTTTAATCAAAAGACATTTATAAACCCTCCCAAACTCGCCTATTTTCCTTCCCAATGCAATTTTACAGGACGGATGCTTAATTACCGAGGACATAAGTCTGCTGAAAAAATTCCAAGTTAAACCTGGAAATATTTGCAGAACTCATCCAAGATAGTCCTAACAGAGCAACAGCAGAGCATAATTTGTCGGGAATGAGAGTGTGCGATTTGGACAATATGCAAGTCCACGTCTACGCCCACCGCCTAGACAGCGCTGGCGGGCCTTGCTGCTTGCGACAGTCAAGTCTAAATACAGCATGTATTAACATGTAAATGATTAGAGTACAGGATATAATAAGTATTACAGTAAGGTATAATAGTACATATCAGCATCGTCATCATTCGCGAGAAAACTCCAGGGAATTTTCTTTTAAACAACCGGGATCAGATCACAAGGTTAGCAACAGGCTGTCACCTTAGAAAAACGTCCACTTTACAAAAGACGGATACGAAAAAATGCACCGGCATAATGGGGATGTGGGTGGGGGGGGAGCCAATTTTCAATAAGGCGAAATGAAAAGTGGCAGAGATGAGGGCTCTAAGTAAGTAAAAGCATCATCATAGCTTAGGGGAAAGGAATAAAGCAGATGGTGTCAAGAAGAAAGATGTGACTGAGGGTTGGCGGGGGGGGAGTCAATGAAAACGCTCACACCGCCGGTGGCTGATCACCGCCACCAACATTTTCCACAGCTACAGTCTCAGCCTCCGACGACCAGTGAACAGTCGGAGCCAACGGGGTCTGAATGAGATTGCGACCGATGCAAAAACGCATGCAACAGATGGTCCACGCGTAGAGGAGGAGGGCAAGCCAGGCTGACAGCAACTTCATCCACATGTTTGCCCAGGACTCGAGGACGGTGTGAATGTTTGAGAGTTCGGGACTGCGAACAGGAAAGCGGCGCATAAATGTACTGACAAAAATACACCTACTTACATAACAGGCAGTAGTAATGTTTTTGTTTGCAAACTTACTTGTACCAGTTCGTGAGTTGAGTCATCATGTAAAGACTAGAGAGACAGAAGGTGAAATGGAACCATGAGTAGGAATAGATGGCAAGAACGGCTTCATTGTAGATGGTGAATCGGTCGCGAGGTGCATTACTGGCGGCAACCACGTCTGCAAACGACACTGAGAGAAGAAGAGAGACAGAGAGAAACGCAAACAAGACAGGCAATTAGTGTATGCAGTCGCTTTCGGATGTAGAAAGAACTAAGGAATAGAGGGCCAATAAGAGGGCAGCAAAGCGAGTAGGATAGAAACTCATTTTTGCTGCGGGGAGGGACGGTGAAGAATGCAGGTAGCTTGATTGAGCCTATTTCGAACTTATTCTGCGACCTCCGACTAATCACAAGCCTGACTGTTAACTGGAATTATAA